GGATAAATAATTGGAATGGTTTCAATTAAACATGGCACACATCATTGCCTGAAATTGCAGAGATGTTTCCATTCATCAGCTCCAACTCCCTCACCCTCTTTATTAACACGACTGTATCCATATGAAGGGTTTGAACTGAAATGGGGGAGCAGACTTTACTCCAGTAATTAAATTAGTGCCTGCTATAAATAGAGAGCTTTCGACGGCATTACGGACTATGTGAAGTATAATTTCTGAAACATATTGATTAACAATAGAAGTCTAACTTGCAGTATTTGCTCATACGCAATTTCCAAAAGCAAAAGGCATACAATGGAAGCTAACCCCACGTTTTAGCATGAAGTCACAGAGGAATAGAGTATGGTTGAAAAATAAGTGGGATTAAAGGATAGAGAGGACTGCTCAGGTATGTTCCACAGTGAATGGTTTTGGCTGCGTAAAAAAAAAATCCCCTGGAGAATGAATTAAATGAGTAAATCATGATGAGATGTTTGCCACATTGGCTCAGTTTATAACACTTTCACCTCTGGCTCAAAGGATTGTGGGTTCAAGCGCCACTCACTGTCAGGAGATGAACCCGGCCTGACAATCAATCATCGTCAGAGTTGCCATCTTTTGGACGAGACATTGAAGTGTCTACCTGGTCAGGTGAATGTAAACGATCCCACAGCACTGCTCAAAGAGAAAAGGAAGATTCTTCCAGTGCCTTGGGCAGAAATATTCCAAATTAATTGGTCATTCTCCCTCCAGCCTCAATAACATTGTGGCTGACTTGTCTGTTTTTGGTTGCCTGTCCAACATCAAGTTCTTACATGAGCTGTAGTCATCCCATTTGGCTCTCGCTGGTTCCTAGACCATGTTTCTCTGATTCAGAATCCATCAGCCTCCCTGCTTTCTCACTCAGGATGACACCAGCGGTTTCCCTAATCAGAAATATAATCCAACATTAGGTGGCAGAGAGAAGGGGATGACTGACGAATGCAAATCACTTTATTAAAGTAGCAAAGGTGTACCCATTGTGTTTTGCTGATTAAAATACAGTCCTGTAATAATATAGCCTTTGATAGCTGAGCACTGTAATAATATAACCTTTGACGGCTGAGTACTGTAATAATATAGCCTTCAATGGCTAAGTACTGTAATAATATAGCCTTTGATGGCTGAGTACTGTAATAATATAGCCTTCAATGCCTTGTGATTTTCAGTTTCCAGCATATTAACACTTTGGACACATAATGCATTTTCTATCTCACTGTGGAAGAAGTCTGCTTTTACATTGGCAGTGTAATCGCTATTTTTTTATATAAAAGTGGATTGCATTTACTGGATAGAGGTTACATTTGTGGATAGCTGGATAGAAATGAACACATTATTACATTGCGCTTCTTTAATGAAATCGAATGCTTCTGAAGGTAGCCCCATCCTGCGGGAATGATGTGATAGCCATATTGGAAGTCCTGCTGTTATCATTTTTGTTTTGTTTCACTTTTCTGTCTGGCACATTGGAAATGACAGTAAACTGTGTTCATTCATAATACATGAATATCGCATTCAGTAATTGTGTCTGATAGGATATATCCCAAACCTCTTCTAACATCATATACTCATATTTGGTGCATGCTTGTCCCCACACTATCATTTGTTCTCCATAATAATTGTCAGTATTTCCTCGGTTATTCCACAGTTTAAGAGCACAGTTTCTATCAGAGTAGCTTTGTGCTGGTGACTAGGGGCCATCTAAGGGAGGTGGACACAAACCTATGAATCAACTTTTCCACAACTAAGCAGATATCTGACACACGCTCTGAAACCTTGGTCTTTCACTGCTTCGAGGAGCATCTCAGTAGAGAGATAAATGTTAGCAGTGGCTGTAAGTAAAAGCAACAGGGTTACTCTTCCAAACTCAACTAGTTGAGACCTGCTGAATATTAGCAACAATTTGTCAGCTTGGGCTCAGTTGGTAGCGTTCTTGTCTCTGGATCAGGAGGTTGTGGGTTCAAGGCCCACTTCAGGGCGGGAGTCCTGGTTGAGATGGACACAGTGCAATGGTGGGGTAGCGTTGCATTGTCGGAGAGGCCGTCCTTCGGATGAGATGCTGAACCAATATGCCTGTTTGATTGGATGTTAAAGATTCCCATGAGTCGAGTCAAAGAGAAGGGAATTCCTCCTGTGGGCTAACAATCCTCTAGATAAATGGATTGTTCACCCCCTGGTTGTTTACGGAGCCTTGCTGTGCACGAATTGGCTTCACTGATGCCTTATCTTGTCACATTCAATAAAATAAGATGGTTCGATTTTTGTTTTCTTGAGTACGAAAAGTATTTAGCAGCAACAGGAGGATAATTACAGTATTTTTTTCCTGATTTTAGTGAATTTTTATGTGCTTACAGAGACAAAAAGTGTAAATTCTGCATCTAACACAGACCATTCACTCTGTAAATGGAATAGCATGAAAGGACACATCACTGTCTCACAGAGAAATTGTGCAGAACAGCCATAAGTCTTAATAATACAGAGGTGTTGTAAAGATATTTTACGGGGCTACACTGTTTCATAAGGCAGGTATATAAAGTCAGGTAGTAACAACAACAACAAAGCCTTTCACGTCGGGAGGACGTCCCAAGACGCTGGACAGTCAGGGGTCAGGACCCGAGCATGGGGGAGGGGTGGTGTAGGGGTGAGGGAAGGCAAAGAGGTGGGCGGGCGACCGAAGGCACGATCGAAGAGGAGGGTTTTGAGACCGGCCTTGAAGGAGGCAAGGGAGGAAGCGAGGCGAAGAGACTGTAGGATGGAGTTCCAGAGTGTGGGGGCAGAGAGGCTGAAAGCTCAGCCACCGATGGTAGGGCGGGTCGGGCGGGAGACGTGGAGCAGACCGGAGCCTGCTGAATGGAAGGAGCGGGCAGGTTGGTAGGGTAGTAAGAAATATCAATTCGTCCTAGTCCTAGCCTGTAAGACCATTTTGTCTTAAAGATTTTATCAGAATTTTTGAGAACTGAAGTCTAAAAACTGGCTCCCAAATTAATACCAAATCCACAATTCCATTACACCTACTCGATCATAAGGTAACATAGTCATACGGGTTAAAGCTCAGTGAAATTTTGACCATCTTGTGACGGTGTCCCTTTAAAGGGATTAAGTCTCTTGCCCCCCCCACCACTCCCATTTGTTTTTTTAATCTATTCGATTGAAAACACAGCTTTCAGATTGAATGATCTCTGTACATTCAATCTCAATTGACTTTAAAGTCAGAAATCAAGCCGCCCCCTTAGACACGCTAATGTATGGAGGTGTCACTCAACTACTCCCTTCAGAGGTAAAGCAGTACTGTGTCCTCTGTTACTGTCTGAGCCTGATCATTAAAAGTTGGGGAAGATCAGAACAGAGAGGTACCATCAAACCGCAGCAGACACTGACTGAACACTCGGCACTGGACTGCATTACATTGAACCACGAAAATGAGGGTGGCAAATTAATCAAAGGATTCTCATCCTTCAAACTCCCCTTAAACTGTCAGTACAATAGAGACGGCAACTCTTAAACATTGTCACATATCAAAGTGACTAATGTATCACCATTTTATGGGAATAATAGGTCATTGATTGTGACATAAAAATAATTATAAGATATCTGTTCCTTGCCTTATTTTGCATAGTGTATGATAGTGTCATACCTGTGTGTTGTAGTGTTTTTTTTGGTTCCAAATCACATTTGGTGACCAGCAAGTCTACATAACAAGCCTTTCCTGCGAGGATAGGATAGGTGGAGGCCAAAATAGGAATATTTTGGGTGGCCTGTAGAAGGAATGTACTTGTGTCAAATTGGTTTTCAAGTTGTTTTTTCGTTAGTTCCCCAAATCCTTGTTCTTTATTTATAACATACTTAGCCCCCTTAGTAAGGGAGTTGACAGCGAAACAAATGTTTATACAAACATTGTTTAAGACCCGATGTGTTGGAATCGTTTTCTTTTACTGGGCACTCTGAAATTGACTTGTTCGTTCGCGTCTATTTAGAATACCAAAAAAAAAGTTCTAATGCTTAAACCTGGATTAGTTGCGCTGGTGAAATGCATCTTTGCAATTGATTGCTTATGTCAAGCATTGCAACAGTGGGTTAATGGGTTGCTGCGTTTTGCCAATATCAAACGCCTGAGTTATTTGTGTGAGGAATTCATTTACTGAAATGAAAGGCCTAATTAACTCAACCCTTAATCACTGGTGAATTACGGCCCCTTTACACTCATTAAATAACTTGTTCAGTTCACTGTTAAACTTGCCAGCGTTTTCCAATGTTAACTCGTCTGCACAGGCCTGCAAAGTACATTTGGCACTTTCCAGTATTAGCTCAAAAGCAAAACTTAATTTAATAGAGCACACACTATAGTGACTTTCATCTCCATTTTGTTGCAAGGTTTTAATCTGAATAAAAGTTTTAGTCGTGCAGTTTATCAAAGTTAATACAAATTGTCAGCCTGGCTCTTTGCTAGCAATCTCTTGCGACCGAGTTACAAGGTTGTGGCTTCAAGCCCCTACACCAGGACCCTGGATTCACAATCTAGGCTGACACCAATACAATCAAGGGGATGGTGCTGCATTGTCAGGAGTGCTGTCCTTTGATGAGACATTAAACTGGGGTCCTGTCTACCTGTTCAGGCAGGTGTTAAAGATCCCGTGGCACTATTTAAACGAGAAGAGAGTTTTCCCTGGAGTCCTGATAAAATTGATCATTCACTTCATGCCTGTTTGTGGGACATTACTGTGGCTGCCGAATTTACCTACAGAACAATCACTTCACAGGGTATCATTTGAAGTACTTTGAGAAGTCCTTCTGATGTGAAAGGTTCTACATTAAATGCACGGATAATTATTCTTCTAATTATTATTATATGCTGTTCCAAATGCTTGTCAGCAATTCAAATTCTGCCTTTACAAGAAAGAAAGTTGTGTTTGCATATTGAAGCACACATTGAAACCTCTTCACATGTTTGCCTTTTGTTTTCGAAGGAACCGCTGGTGATTGGAAGCGAGACTGTTCTACACAGAAGTAGAAGGTCTTTGATTGCTCCTCCCATTTCGTTCCCTGAGAACCAAAGAGGACCATTTCCAAAAACTATTGGCAGGGTAAGTGTTATGGTGTTCAATGACTGGAACAGATTGCCATGAAATGTGGTAGAGGCCATGACACTTAACTCATTTAAAAAGCAGCTTGATGCTACAATGAGAGGTTGGTACGGTGAGTATTCTGGAGGGATGAGATCGAATGGACCAAAGCTCCATTGCCTCGTGTGGAGTATAAACACGACACAGACTGGTTGGGCTGAGTGGCCTGTTTTGTAAATCTTTGTAAGTCCAGACTGATCTTGTGGTTGCGCTACTTCATTAATTTATACCCCAAACACTCCCCTCCTTGCCCACCATCCCCTAAAAGTGAATAAATTGACAAGAGAACGCTTATTGAGATATATGAGTGGGTGACATTGTCACAATCTTTTTTGTAAAAAAAATTGTAAATCATGTGAAGGGCTTTGGGCAACATGATAAGGTGCTACATCAAATGTAGGAATTATTATTACTTAATATAGAGAATGACAGACTTGAAATTTCAATTAATCTTAGCCTGGAAGACAGTTATGACTTAAAATTTAAAATAGCGTGAACTTGTGGTAAATTCCTAAATCCGTCTTTAATTTGGAAGCTGCTGTGTTTTAAGAAGTGCAGTAAACCGGTTTTTGAATTGAGAATGAATTTAAGAATTTTTCGCGGTTCTGCGCGCACGAGAAATGGGTTTGCAGGCTAGCGCGTGGTGCAGTTTTGGACTTATTGTTAATTAGATTGTTAATTAGTTATATTCGTAGCTTTGTGCTATTTCTGATAATAATAATAATAATCCTTGCACATGATATAGCGCCTTATCACGCCTTTGAGACGTCTCAAAGCTCTTCACAGAATATACTGTGAGGTGAATTCATTTTATATTTTTTCCAATCTCTGTTTGAGCTCCAAACCTTTGCAGATATTGTTACACGTTTTGCACTCTTGAGTTTACATAGAAAAATATTGCTGTTGGAGCATTATTGTGTCTACTTCAGCATTTTGTTTCCAGAGCAGATGGTAAAGGATGGCAAAAAAGCGTATTCTCAAAGCTTCTAATTTATTTCGCCCCCAAAATAGATCAACTTACAAATCCCTTGTGACTATGATCTGATCTCCCTGAGTTTCGCTATTGGCTGGCGTACTGGATTTCAGAGTTAAAAGCTTGCCACTTTTATTAACTTTTTCTTGTGTCGGATTGTATTTGAAAGGAACAGAATGCGTAAGGAATGTGTAAACCAGCGTAGTAACCCTTGTACTCTGACCTTAACCCAATCGTGCTGTTTGCACCTTCAGTCAGAAAGCAAACAAGAACTTGGGGTGTGTCAAAAGTCATGAGTCACAAGAAGCAATGTAAAACTTGTACCGATCACTGCTCCAGCCTCATCTTGAATGCTGTGTGCACTTCTGGTGACTGTATTGCAGTGAGCCCATCTTGGCCTCAGAAAGGTCCAGGGAATAGCAATTACCTTCATAGCTGGAATTCGTCACCTGAGTTCAGACGAGAGAGACGATGGAAGCTCGGAATATTTGCCCAGAGAAGAAAGCCCAGAGGAGATTTTATTGAAATTTTCAAAGTCCAGAATTGTTTTGATCAAGCGAGCATCGAGACCATGTTGAAAGTGGTCAAAAGGTTCAGGAATGATAAGCCCTCCTTGCATTTGATATCGATCCTGATCATGTCGTCGAGACGTCTCAAAACACTTCATGTGATTTTATTTTATTGTGCGTTTGTCCCACAAGCAGCCGTGAAGTGAATACGGAAGGTGGCAAGATACAGCCGTTCAGATTCAATGATTTCACATGGAGAATGTGGAGTAGATTACCCGGGGAAAGGCTGGGGGCAGATTGTAGCAGCAAATTCAAGTGGGAATTAGGTAATTATTTAGCAAAGGGTTCAAATGAGGGTATGACAGTGTAATCCTATAGATCAGGTTTATTTTTAAAATTTTGTTTTTCACTTTGTAAATGGCCAAAAAGATCACAATGGTCTATTCCTATGTCCCTTTGATGATTCCGTTTCTCAGGTGGAGAGCTGATCATCTCAACCTTTCACAGTCCGTATCAAATACTTATTGCTGCCTGTTTAGATAAATGTATTCTATCAGACGATGTTGGAAACAATTCGCGCAGCCCGTCACAAATCTGTCATCTGAAAAAAGAAGCGTATGTTTAAGCAGAAACCTATTCGGGTTTCTTGGATCAAAAGCAAAGTGGAAGAGGTGTTGAGATTTTCAAATGCTTGCGCTTTAAGAAAAGCAAAAAAAAAAAAACCAATCACTTTCCAAGAAGGAATTTGCTTTTTATTTTCTCCTTCAGATAACTAACGCTGCGTTTTAAAAGCATGAGCTATATGCAAGCAAAAACAATTTATCTTCCAATTGATCTATGCCATTATCTAGGAGCTGGGTGTGTGCTGCAGGCTTGATGATACTGTTTACTTGCTGCTAGTTCTGGTTAGGCTTGAGAGTGGAAAATGATCCCACTTCACTCCAGCAATGCTACCAAAAGACTTCCAGTGATGGGAATGCTCAACCTATTTTGCTGCATCTCCTTTGTTTTCGCAATTGCTGCTCAGAACCTTATTTACACACCGGGATTGCATTCTGTTTGCTTCATCGTGATGGAAATGGAATGCACTCTCACAATATTTACATTTATCCCTGAGTGAGTTGAGGTACCAGTGGGTGTTATTAAATGATCACTTTAATGTACGTGCTGTTTTTTTTTCCCCTTTGTGCAAAAATGATAGTAGATTCTCGTTAGGCAATTTTATAGCGATCTGATTTGTCGCTGATTTAAAGCTTGTGTTTCATCCCACTACAGGGGCAAGAGGCAACCCAACTATGAAAACAATACTGATGTGGGGGTGGGGGCTAAAATCTATTGGGACATTGGAGTGGATTTACGTCGAACTCTTAGTATAATAGGATGTTTCAGAAAGTTTTTTTTAAGTGCTACTATTTCACATCAAACATTGGATGGAATATTTTTTCGCCCACAAAATACACGATCAATCTACTCTACAGTATATTCTGTCGAGTGCTTTGAAACGTCTCAATGATGTGATAAGGCGCTAGATCAAATGCAAGAAGTCTTATAGTTATACAAAGCTAATCATCCTCAGACTTTTTTTGAATTAAATGCCTTGCTGTGTGTTTTTTTAACATGCAATATACTAAGACAGATCAAATACTGTACAATAGAATAATATAATACAGTTTACCCTTCTATAGCACCTTTTGGGTTGTGAGGATGCTCAAGGAGCTTGATAAATCTGGCTGGGCACCAGAGCTGAGGGGGTATGTGTGTATTTGTGGGAGGGGTAAGGAGGCGAAAGATATAATACAAATTTATATAGCACCTTTCACATTGAAGACCAAAACCGTGGTCAAAAAGGTACATTTTATAATTAAATAAATCAAGCTAAAGTCTATTTAGTGATGCCCGTTCTTCCCAGCTATCTGAAGTAGATGCCGAATTCTCTAAGTGCAAATTTCCTTTTGCAAGTTATTCGTGACCCGGGCCCCATTTAATTTTTATAATTGACTGTTTTCATTTGTTTTGCGCTGGGTGTTAAATGGTGAGAAATTATATTACTGTGTGTTGAAACTGGTAAGTTTTTATACATGGGTTGCAGAAACACTTATTGTTACTTTACCTGCACTACAATCCAGTCAGTGGGTTTGAAAGCTTCCCCACTGCTTGTCCAGCGAGGACCACCCTACCTGTTAGAGCTTTGGCTTGCAGGGTTAAAAGGAGCTGAGTGGGATGGCTCCCTGCCCCAGTGACTGGTCTGCCCTTCCAATTCCTGCCAATGAATGTGGAGTCCTGTAGCTCAGTGGTTAGAGCACTCGCTTTGCAAGCGAGAGACCTGAGTTCAATTCCAGGCAGAGGGCGAAACCCTGGGCAAGTTTCCTTACTCCACACAGAGCCTAATAATAATCCCTCCAAAACCAAAACAATAATAAATTGGTCATTTTCAATCTGCGACTGTTTGTGGGACATTGCTGTGCGCAATTGGCTGCCGCGTTCACCCACAAATATACAGTCAATTCACTTTACAGTGTGTTCTGTGAAGCGCTTTGGGATGTCCTCCCGATGTGAAAAGCGCTATATCAAATACAAGGATTATTATTATTATTATTATTATGAGCCAGGCTGTGCTGGCCTGCATTCAGCACTGACCCGGAATCCTGCAGACTCGTCTGGCTCAGGAACCAGACTATTGAGACTGTCACAGAGAGTGGGCTGGATTTTGACATTCATTTGCCAAACAACAACAACATTACATTTGTAAAGCGCCTTTCATGTCGGGAGGACTTCCCAAGCAATGGCATGTCACCTTGGAGCCAGTTCTGCTTCCAGGAGACGCAGTTTGCCTCCCTCAGGTTTGAAATCCACCTCAGTGATGTGCGTTTTGTGGGTTGGGAAATAAACCAGTTGACTGGCATCGCTTGTGATAATACTCCTACAGCCCTCCTTATCACATCAGTGCCAGGAAGACATTTAACGTTTTGGTAGAAGAATGTCAATTATTAGTGGATCATCAAGATCACATAATATACATGTCAGGAACATCCTGACTCGGGTTCCACTGAACCATCAAAGATTCCACTACCAACGTTTGCTATTATTTTGTGGGGCTCATATGGGAAATCATCAGGATTTTATATATATATATATATATGTGCTATTCCAGCTTACTTTAGTTCACATTTCTTCCTCCATTCAGTTTTAACAAGCGAATAATCATTCATCCTTACCACTGAATCAGGCATTGTATATGCCAGCCAGGACTCCTTGATGACTGAAGCGTCTGCTTTTAATTCAGTTACTGTTAGTTCAGGTTCATCAATCTTGTCTTTTGGGAAAAAAGGAGCTTTAATTTTGCTGTAAGCATAAAACGGCAAGCCGTCAGAAATGGAATACAGAGCAGTCCTGTGCATACTGATGTGTGAGTAAACTGGGGAGCAAAGCTTTCAGCTTAATGTCCTTTTTGATCCAATAAACAGTCCCCATAAGAGGAC